TTCCTGACACAGCTGCAGTCTAGTCTTGTAGCAAGGGCCAGCGCCTGTCACTCCTCCGTCTCGGTGGGAAGTCTTGTTCTGAGAGGTCCCTCGGTCAGTGCTCTGCAGGTTGGGCGGGGAGGAGCCCTGGGGCAGGCTCAGCGAGGGCCCTGGGCGCTGCCCAGGCTGCCCCTCCATGTCCTCCGTATGCAGGACGGTCAGTGGGGGCGTGGGGGCTGATTGCAGACAGGATGGGGAGCTTTGGGGAGAAGAGGAGTCGAGACCTTGACCCCTTTGCTTGCTCTTTTTAAAAAAATGACGGTGAAATGTAGGTAATGTCAAGTTGTCCACCGCGATCACCTTTTAGGGTACAATTCAGTGACACTGATTTCGTGCACAACGTCATGTGGCCACCCCCACTGTCTGTTTCTGATACTCCTCTGTCCCCCCAAACAGAGACTCTGTACCCATGAACCAGTGACTCCCCAACTTTCTTTCCCCTCAGCTCCTGGTAACCTCTGCTCTGCTTTCTGTTTCTATGGATTCGCCTGTTTTAGGTGTTTCATATGAGGAGAATCGTACCATGTTTGTCCTCTCGTGTCTGCGTTACTTCACTTGGCACAGTGTTGTCAGGGCCCTTTCATACCGGAGCGTCTATCGGAACTCCATTCCTAGCCCCGGCTGGCGTAGCTCAGGGGATTGAGCACGGGCTGCAAACCAAAGCATCGCAGGTTCTATTCCCAGTCAGGGCACATGCCTGGGTTGCAGGCCACGGCCCCTAGCAACCGCACATTGATGTTTCTCTCTCTCTCTCTATCTCCCTCCCTTCCCTCTCTATACATAAAAAAAAAAATTTAAAAAACCCCAAAAAAGAACTCCATTCTTTTTCCCGGCTGAATAGTGTCCCGGGTGTGTACATTTCCCACGTTGTTACCCGAGTCTCCACTGACTCTCTGTTGACACCTGGGTTATTTCTGCCTTTCGGCCGCAGCGAAAAATGTTGCTGTGAACGTTGGTGTTCAAGTGTCTGTTTGAGTCCCTGCTTTTATTCGTTTGGGGTACACACTTGGGAATTGCTGGCTCCTGTGTTTATTCTCTTTAACCTCTTGAAGAATTGCCAAGTTCTTTCCCTGCTGTTTGGAAAGTCAGTGTCACTAGAGTCACTGTGATGGGTCAGATGGACCGAACTGGACGGACGCGTTACCCGGGGTCCCACGGCAGATCTTGCGAGCAAGCTGCCGGGCTGGGTACCAGGCCCAAGAGGAACGGTCTCAAACCCCGATGCCCAGGGGCAGAAGAGGTGGCACTCACAAGTCCAGCTGTGTCCCCCAGTAAGGAGGACAGTGCTGTGTGGCTCCAGCCAGTTATTGGCATGTGGGAAAGAGTTTTCATTTCTTCCAGAGCACCAGGAAATCTGATGAGAGGTGTCCTGATTTTTAAGTGACAGTAAGTAGTCCAAAATGGGTGAACCAAATAGAGCATGTCCCCGGGTTCAGTTGTCTGTTGGTGACGGTTGGCCTGCATGTTTTTGGGGCTTGACTGGTCTCAGCTGTGTCACTGAGGCAAGGAACCCCCCCTCACCAGGGGCAGTCGTCCTGGGGTGACAGTGCTTGGGATCGGTGGCGGCTCACATTGGGGGAGCAGGAAGGCAGGGGCAGGGGGAACCCAGGCCGCCCACGGAGGAGTCTGGAGGCAGGGGCCGGGGCTGGGACTGCAGCCTCCCCACAGGGGCCCCGCCCAGGCTCATCTCAGACCCTGCCCCGCCCGCACTGCGTGCTGCTTGGTGGCTCAGATCGGAAGTCCACCCCAGGTGGCCGTGGCCACACGAGCAGTCCCCGCCTTCAAGGAGGGCAGCCCCGCTCTTTGAGGAAGAGACTCCTCCTGTTTCTGTGACGGAGATCCGCTGTACCGTGTCCAAATCACGAGTGTGAAGACTCTGAGTTGGCGAGCAGCGGGCTGCGGAGCACCCATGTGTACATGCGGTGGGAAGAACGGGCGTTTCCCTGGGGCGTAGTGCCCGCCCCTGCTTCCCCGAGCGTGCCACACCGGGAAGGGGATGCCCCGAGAAAGGGCTTGTGCTCTGCGGCCTCGTGGGTTCATCTTCTGGGTCTCCCATGTGTGGTTGCCTAGCAGCTCACCGTGTCATGACTGAAGCCCGACTAATCTGATTGGTTGCGAGGAGGCCAGTGTGTGTGGGAGGTGGAAAACCTTCGTGGGTTTGCATGAGTCGTCTGGTGTTTCCTGGGAGAAGGACAGGGACAACCAAGACACACCCGGAGCTGGGGACATGTCTCCCACCCGGCGCTGAGTCGGCGGTATGGCTTGCGTCTCCCTGACTGAATCTTCTCAGAGGCATACGAGTGGCCGAAGCGACAAGCGATGGGTGAAGCGGCTCCAGTGGGACGGGATGCAGCGTGCGCACACGTCTCTGACCTTGGCCGCGCTCCCCGTAGCAGGTGTGGCAGTTTGTTAACCAACGACGGAGTAGCCCCTTCTGTGTATTTGCACCCAGGGCAAGTCTGCCCGCTGGCTTCTTTGGAAGTTGGGGTGCCCGCGCTCTTTTGGGCATGAGTGAATCTAGGGTCTCGTGAGCTTTAGTTACTTTTCAGGGTTGCACAAGCTTGTGGCTATCTGCACTTAAAAATCACCTGTAGGTGTGATTTACGTTCAAGAAAACGCGCCGACTTTGGTGTAGTCTGATGTACGCCTGCGCCCCGAGTCGCCGCCCCCGCCATCTGAGCAGGCTTCCACGTCGTCTCCAGCGTCCGGCCGCGCGCCGGCCTCGGCACCTACGGGTCAGCTCTCCCTCCCTGCAGAGCATGGCGGTCTCTTCCGGAATCCCATCCTAATCGAATCGTGCGGTCCATCCTCTTCTGTGTCTTTGCACGGTTCTGTCTTTTTTGTTCCGACCAGCGTTCTGCTTCTGAGCCTCGTCTGTGCTGCTGCTGCTGCTGCTGCTGGTATCTCATTCCTGGTTGTTCACGAGTCGTGTCCACTGTGTGGCTGTGCTCTGGCTGGCTCACCCACTCACCCGTGGGGCGGCATTTGGGCTGCCTGCCGTTCTTGGCTGTTACGAGTAACGGTGCTCCGACCGTTCGTGCACGAGTCTGTGCGTGGACATGTGTTTTCATTTTTCTCGGGTGAAGGCCCAAGAATAGAGTTTCTGGGTCATATGGTGAGTGTGTGCTTAATTTGACAAGAAGCTGCCAGACCGTTTTCCGAACTCATTGCACCGTTTTATATTCCCACCACGAGTTCCAGTCGCCTCCCGTCTTTGCCAGCACTAGATACTGTCAGAATCCAAAATTTTAATTGTTCTAGTGGGTGTGTAGCGGCATCTCATTGCGGCTTTCACTTGTCTTTCCCCGGCGACAAGTGATCCGGGGTCTTTTTCAGGTGCTCATTGGCCCTCTGACGTTTTCTCTGGGGGAGTCTCCGGTCAAACCTTTCTGCTGATGTCTCGGTTGAGTTGGGTGTATTCTCCTAATTCTGTTTTCAGGGTATAAGACTATTTTCTGGACCTAAGTCCTTTGTCAGACACGTGTATTGAGAGTTGTTTTTACAATCTGTTGTTTGTATTTTATTTTTCCTAACTTTGTCTCTGGGAGAGCCGCAGTTCTTAGTGCTCTGGGGTTTTAGGCAGGCCGGCCGGTCGTGTTTTCTTCGTGGCCGACCTCCCCGGGAGGGCGCGGGCCCACCCTCGCCTCCTCACCTGTGAGAGGTCGGCTTGTAGAAGGTTCCTGTTCCGTGAACCGCCTCGCCTTCCGGTGTTCCTCTGACTGCTCCCTTCCGAAGCCACTTAACTTGCTCCTCTGCCTTCTGTGTTTTCTGCAAGACGGGAATGAGTTTTAAAGTTTCCTTCATTGAGTTTAGTTGAATGCAGTTTTATCTTTGGAGCTGCTTCTCCGTAGCCACGGGGCTCTTGGGACACACCCTCCGGTGTCAACAGAGGGACGTCCTTTCTCTTTTGAGAGGCCTGGCACTTGCAGGAAGGTGGCCCGGGAGCCTGCGTGTGCGCTCACTGTGACTGGCAGATGTTGGTGCGATTGGTGCCGGCCTCTGGGGACGGGGGCTCCCCCAGCCCCACGGCTGTTTCCCTGGTGCTCCACCCCTGAAGGAGCTCTCTGAGCCTTCTGTGGTCCGAGAGCAAGTTTCAGCCTCTGGTGCGGCTCGAAGACTCCTCGTGGCTTCAGGGGAAGGATCGAGGCTCTTCTCTAGGTTATGTAGGTTCGGCCTTCCCCTCTACCTGGACCTGCACTTGGGACAAGGAGGACGTAACCTGTGGGTGCCCGATATTTTCCCGGTATGAAAGCGTGCTTCTCGGTTGTCCGTGGCCGGTCCGTGGCTTGGGGACGGCGGAGCTGGGGGGCCTGTGGAGGCCGAGGGCCAGTGATCTCTGGATCTGAGTGCTTTGTCTTCCGTGCCGGCTTTCAGCTCCGTCTTGTGTCTTCTCCCAGGCAGGAGGGTGGATTTCCTCGTGGGCGAAGTGTGGAGATTCAGGTTCTCTGTAAAATGCACCGGGGGACTTTGGAGACTAGGATAGAAAGTTTAATAATGAACTGTACTTACTTCCTTGGACCCTGGTTTCCGGACAGGTTATTGTTATAGTACGAGCATGCTTAGCATACTTTCTGTCTATTACATAACAGTTTACATGTTCAGAGCACACAAATCTAGCTTTTTTTTTTAATTTTTAGAGAGAGGGGAAGGGAGGGAGAAAGAGAGGGAGAGAAACAATGACGTGCGAGAGAAACATCGATCAGTTGCCTCCTGTACGAGCTCCGACTGGGAACCGACCCCGCCACCCAGGCACGTGCCCTGACCAGGAATTGAACCGGTGACCTTTCGCTTGGCAGGACGATGCCCAGTGAACTGAGCCACACAGGTCAGGGCGGATCTAGCTTTTCCTGCTCACGAGTTGGGAAGTACTCACGTTACCTACACGAGGTCTTCGGGAGCAGTGCCTGTCATCTAACGTCATGCTGAGTTACGACCTTTCCGTTTCTTTCTTTACGACCCAGGACATCCGGGACCCTCTCTTGCAGTGGCTGGGGAAACAGGTGGGTCCTGCAGGCGTCATAAAGTCCAGCAAGCTCTCCCTCCAGTTTGTCACCTCCTGCACGTCTGAAGTCGAAGTCACGCCGGCCACTCTGCCCGTGGTGACCGACACGACGGCCTTCTCATCGGAGCACTTCAGCCTGGAGATCTACCGGCAACACCTGCAGACGAAGCGGCTGGGAAAAGTAGTCCTGTTTGCTGAAGTGGCGTCCACCACCATGGACCTTCTGGACGGGTGAGTTGTGGGCCCGCGTGGGGAGTCCAGTTGGGCGAAAGGGTCTTTCTGGCCCGTACTGGGGACGAGGGACAGACACGTGGAACGGGAGGGAGCTCTTCACAAACCACCCGCGAGGTAGGCGCACCCGGCCCTGGAAGGGTTCGCCTACAGGAAGAGAGCTTCAGCGACGTTCTTGGACCCAAGGGTTGTGTTTGAAAGGCTGGGCGGCTCCCGTGGCTCTTTGTAAAACCTGGCCCTGCAGAGTGTCCCCGGGGAAAAGGAACATGGTGAGAAGACACGGCGAACAGGTGGCACCGTTGTCCGAGTGAGTGTTTTACTTTCGCGTCCTTAGAGCCAGCGGCAAACATTCAGTTGAAGCTGTTTTGCAGGGGTGTCCGGGCCGGGGCCAGATGGGAAGGGCGTGGAAGCTGTGTTCCGTTGGAGTCAGGCGGGGCTTTGTCCTTGAAAACCTGCTCCGGTCCGTTCCCGTCCAGGACATTTTTCGAGCGCTCTGTAATCCCATGTGCGCGCCCGAAACGCACTCTTACTGAAAAATTTCCTTTTTATTCCTTCTGTTTCCTGGACTTTGATGAAAGGTTAAAAAATGGAAAGCAGATGAAAGGAATTTTTTTAACTGCCAAATTAGTCAGTGTTAATGAATAGCCTTATATTCTGAGGCAGTCGAAAAGGTGGGATTATAGAGGGAGCGAACAGGAAAAGCCTCGTCCCTCAGCCCGGGACTGAAATGTGGGGAATGTCGGCGTCCCCCCCCCGGCCCCCCGCAGAGCCCCGGTTCACGGGTCCCGGGCGCTCTCCCCGGCGGGACTGCCCGGCGAGATGCATTATCCAGCCCACGGGCCATGTGGAAATATTTTGGCCTTTCTTCTTAATAATCATCTCTGGAATTTGATGGCATGTTGATATCAAAGGGGAACTTTAGGGTTTCTTGACATTCCCACCCCAAGTCTTGCGAGGGGCAGCTGTGGCGTGCGTGGAGGGAAACGTCCGTGTGGGGGGGGGGGTTGGCGGAGGGAGGGGAGGGGCGGTCGGAAGGGGGTAATTGCCCCGGTAACCGCAGTTCTCGTCCGCCGAGCTGCTCTGCCGTGGCATCGGGACTCTTCTCCCTGGTGCTCCCAGCCTCTCCTGCCTCCACTCCCCGCCCCCCCCACCCGCCCCCCAGCCCCTCAGGAGACAGGGAGCCTGTTCTTGTAGGTGCAACAGCCCTTACTTGCTGGTGCAAACCCGTGACAATCTTTTGTAACTCAACCGAACATTCCGTTATATCAAGAGGGTGACCCATTATCATTACACTTACCTAAGTTAAAATGAAAATCGAGACACGACATTTAACCCAGGATTTGGGGAGGTGACATGCAGACAGAAAAACGGGGGCACTTCCAGACCATTTTTGCTGTTTCCGTGGGCGTAAGTGAAGACTGGCGTGTGTCGGATGATCCTGGAACATCGGACAGCGGTCTCCGAGCCTGAGCCCGTGCAGTGGGCACGCGTCACCAAGAAGCCCGTGAGCGCCCCCCGCTGGAGTGGGCGGCCCGGGGCTCCCTGGGGATCAGGTGCGCGGGTTCCCTCACACCGCGGGGAGCCCGGGTTTGGGGTGCAGAGGGGCGCTGTGCAGCCACACTGCTGCTTTGGTGCCCTCGACTGCCGGTGAGCGCCTCTTGGCCATTGGCCTGTCTATAGAAAACTGAACGTCCTGTCTGAGGCGGCGTGGGGCTGTCAAAGTGTGTGGCTGAGCGCGATGACAGTAGCCTGGGAAACTTCCGCAGGATCCAGAGTTTCTGTTTTGACAAAAGGAAACTATTGCAACTTTTCCGAGGGCATTTGCTTCTCTCCTTGCCTGGTCTCCGGAGAGTGCAGAGTAAGACGGCTGTGGTGGGTGGCGACCGGCCCTCTGCCGGCCGCAGGTCTGACGTCGAGTTGTGCACCAGGACTTACCCTTAAGAGAAGGAACTTGAAGAGGTCGCCTTAGTGCCAAAATGACCTACAATGGTCTGCAGAGGGGCCGTGAGATAAAGGAAACATATGGCTTATTACTTCCCTAGCACACCACCAAAAGCACTTCTGTCGCGAACATGGTATCTGACCCACACGAGCTCCCTTTCGGAAGCGCAGTGTGGCGGTGATAACAGCCGTTGTAGCCAACGTGTATCGAAAGCTTCTGTCTTTCAGACACTGCTTTTAGGCACCTCGCACGTATCGACTAATTTCGTGCGTCATCTTTCGGTGCCTGGGGTCCGTCGTCGTGGGAATAGAGTGGCACCCCCGTATCACAGCAGCGTGTGGGATCGTTCCTGTCTGTGTGTGTTGATAATGATTGTGTGGTACATTGCATCAGTGGGTGAACTGGGCGGGGCCAGGAGGACTTCCCAGACCACGGACTGGGTTTGCTCCACGCCTCCTGTTGCTGTGGGAGAAACAGGGACCCTCGGATCTCCCTAGGCAGGGAGAGGAAAGGAGAGACTCCCCGCACTGGCGGTGGGTGCGTTCCTGCCGGTCTGTCCATTTGGCAACCTGGGTTCTGCTCACTGTGGCTTCTTGCCCAGCGTCCTTGGGGGTCTCGGCCTTGCCTTTTTTGGGGGGCGGGGAAGTTTTAACCTGACTACCTCTGAGACTCGAATTAGAAGGGATGGACTTTTCACGTGCTCATGCCAAGGGGGTTTGGGGTCTGGGTACTGTTTGGAGGGTGACGGTCATGGCTGTTTCCGGGAGACAGGAGTGTTTGCAGCTTCGGTAGGCCTCCAGCCGGCTTGCCGCAGTGGTCCCCTGTGCAGGGACCTGGTCTGGACAGAGTGCCCTGTGTGCCCCTCCGCCGCCCGCTGCGCAGTCTGGCGGCAGCTCCCTTGGGCCAAAGGAAGCGCGGGGCTTGGGTGGAAGGCCGGCCTGTCGTCACTCTTGGGTGTGAGGCTCCTGGGCGTCGGTGGTGGTGAAGCATCTGTCTTGTCACTTGCTGAGGCCGCGGGGACAGCCCCAGAAGCTCCACCTTAGGTGCTGACAGAATGCCCCTCTCTTATCAAATCTTTTTCTAGCTTCTTAAGACTGGTTAAGCGCCACGGAGGTCCTTCCTCTCTCGTTGAACTTTGCTCAGGGCACCCAGGACCGACAAGCACCGCCCTTCGCATTTTCAGAGCTATTTCCTGTGGCGAAGCAGCTTCTGCCAGACACCTGCTGGGCTGCAGACCCTCCCAGGCGACAGAGGCCCGGCTGCACGACAGCAGCGGTCGTCAGTGGTGGGCCTGTGGCACCTGTGTCCGAGCCACCTGTCCCGCCCGGACGCCGCCTTCAGGCGGTGGTCCCAGGCCTTGTTTTCCGTGGTTACTGAGTCTGTGCACCAGATGCAAACCCCACTCAGGCGCCCGTCTCCAGGCCGGTTAGGGTTAGGCTCAGCGGTGTGAGAGAGGTCCCCAAATGCAAGTGGCTTCAGCAGGGGGGACCGAGGTGGGTGGTCCCGGGCCAGTGTGTGGCCCACAGTGCCAGGGACCCAGCTGGGTTGCTCTGTCACCCTCAGCAGGCCCAGGGGGCACCCGGAGCCTGAGTGCTGCCATTTTAGCCCATGAGCGGGGTTGGGGAGAGGCAAAGAAGGATGGGGCTCTGTTCTTTTCAGACTCTGTCTGATCGATGGTGTGAATAGCCTGGACAGAGTCCCCTGAGGTGGCTCGTGACGTTTGTGCTCGTGTCCCAGGGCCGGGACCTGTGGTAGCATGACCACAGCTACCTGCAGAGAAGGCCAGGACATGAGTGCGGTCTTCACACTCAGCACCCACGAATCCACGAACCCTGGGGCCCTCGCCCTAAGGAGGAGAGCGGGGTGGGTGCTGGAGGGCAGTCAGAAGTCCTGTCCCGGACGCTCCTTGTAGCCGCCTGATGACAAACCGCGTGGCCGTGGCCTTTGCGGTGGCCCCAGTGCCTGCAGGATTAGAAGCCCCAGGTGGAGGAGATAACTCGTTGAGTGGAGACGCGAGTTTTGTTGTACTGCGCACTCAGCGTCGCTGGAGCTGCTTTTCTTACGTTTACGTAAACCTGGGAGAATTTGGGAACTTGTCTTCGGACGAATATTTTGGAGGACATTGTATTTGCTTCAGTGACCGCAGACCCAGCCAGGCTGCTGTGGCCTGGAGGTGGGCCCTGCACGTTTGCACCTGCTGTGTGGGTGTGAGCGCAGGGTGGGTGGTCGTGGGGCCGTGCACCCACCACCTTCACCCCCGCCCCGCCCCGTGGATGTCAACACTGTGTTAGTGGCTCCGCAGAGGGGACAGAGTTCTGGGCGGAGCCAGGGGCACAGGGAAATCGATGCGGGAGTTGCCTGCTGAAAACTAAATCAAGGCAATGGGAGGGCCTGTGCCGCCGCACCCCCCCCCCCCACCCCGCTGCCCCTGCCAAATAAAAATAAAAGTGAAAACCATGTGATGACTTTCCCCTTAGTCTGACTTGGCTGTGCCCCCCTCCCCAGTCTGGTGAGAGGAGGAGACTCCCAGCTGCGCTCCTCCTCCGCGCACGGCCGCCGATACCTGTTGCTGACCTGTTGCTGACCGGGAACTCGGCGTTGTCGCCTCTGTTGTCCCGGAGCGCCTTTTGGGTGCGGTGCTGGTTTTGGTCGATTCCAGACACCTGTCTTTTCCTTTCCCTGCTGCCTCCCGGCAGGTTTCCCTGTGGCCTTTCAGCTGAGCTGGTTGGACGGGTGCGGGCTCACACTAGACTGTGGTCCACGGTCACGTCCTCCAGCCGCAGACCCGGACAGCCGTCCACTCACGTGAGCCATCGCGCACCCGTCCCGTCTCCGGCGAGCGCCGATCGGCCCTCTGCTGTGAGGAAGGCGTGAGCCGGGCCCCGGAGTTCAAGAGCTCGGGGGGACCTGAGCCACCGTGGTCACCGTGGTCGCATTTGGAAACGTCTTTTATTCGACCTACTGTGCCCTATCGATGACTCGTGCCGCACCTGTCAGATGCCGCAAGCACTCCGTGTGCCCAGCAGAGCGCGCGCTGAGCCCAAGGTCCCCAGCCTTG